AGTTATTGCATCTTTCAGACATATTTTGATATATTGTCCCTTATATTTTTAGAGGCTTTGTCAGATTGTTAAGATTTTTATACGAGTAATGATTTTATCAATCACTTGCTTTCATGAGATCTTCTTTAGAGAGAATGTTCACTTATAATATTGCTTGATGATGTTGACCTCTATTGAAGAGGTTGCATCTGTAGAAGAGGTTGCGAGAATCCACTAAGGATGTATAACCTATCCAATGTTACAACCTATATGGAAGAGGTCAAAAGAATCTAGTAATGATGTGAGACCAATCCAAGGTTATATGTCACAGCCCTACTCAATGACGTTAACCTATATGAAAGAGATCGAAAAAATCCAGCAAGGATGTGAGACCTTTTCGAGGTTGTATGTCAGAGTCCTGCTCGATGATGTTAACTTGGGTGGAAGAGGTCGAGAAAATCCACCAAAGATGCGAGACTTTTTTTAGGTTGTATGTCAGAGCCCTACTCGACGACATTAACCTGTATGGAAGAGGTCGAGAGAATCCACCAAGGATACGAGACCTTTCCGAGGTTATATGTTAGAGCCTTGCTTGATGACGTTAACCTGTTTGGAAGAGGTTGAGAGAATCCACAAGGATTGCAAGATCTTTCCGAGGTTGTATATTAAAACTCTACTTGATGACGTTAACCTATATGGAAGAGGTCGAGAGAATTCACAAAGGATGCAAGACCTTTCTGAGTTTGTATGTTAGAGCCCTGCTCGATAACATTAACTTGTATAGAAGAGGTTGATAGAATCTACCAAGGATGCGAGACCTTTCTGAGATTGTATGTCAGAGCGCTTTGCTCGATGATATTAACCTGTATTGAAGAGGTTGAGAGAATCCATCAAGGATGTAAGACCTATCCGAGGTTGTACGTCAGAGCATTTACTCGATAACGTTAACCTTTGTGGAAGAGTCAGATCAAATCCCCCCGGGATTGATCATCCAGTGATTGAGATACAATGTAGATTATGTATTTCTCGAATTACGAAAAAAGAGTTTGAGAAGTTTTTTTATCTTTTATAAGAGAAAATAATATCACAACAACGTGAATATTATATTACTGTATTATGTAAGATAGTATAATAGTTTCCTAGTATGACTTAGAGATATACAAGTTATAATGACTCAATATATAAGATATACGTATGGAGACAATACAAAGTTTAACTTGTAAAAAGACATAAGGGATATCAAAGTGATACCCTAATTAACATAAAATAGACATAATGAAACAAGACAAGTAGTATTATTAATACAAATGCACGAAGTGCGTGATCATTCAATCTCACCAACCATTTGAATATTATTCAATGATTGTCTTTGTTGTTGATTTTGCCCCCCCCCCCCAGCGGGACGAGCTTCCTCTTGGGTAGGTGGATCTCGAATAAATTATCAAAGATAGCCCTGGCGGATAACTCTTTCAATCTCATCCTTGAATTGCTTATGGGCTTCGGTAGTGTGACCACGACTACGATGAAAGTGATAGTACTGACCTGGATTTCTTGTGTTCGACTTCAAAGGATTCGACTATTTCACTGTATCTTCATCTCGAATGGTCATCAATACATTTGCTCGAGATGTGTTGAGTGGGGTATACTCCTTCTCGTGTTGAGGTTCCCATCATGGTAATGGAGGCCTAGGAGGTAGATTATTCTTTCTTTGCTTTTTCTGTTGTGAGGATGTATTGTCCATCCTAGGTGCATCTTTGTGCGTCCCAGTAGTTTGCTCAAATTGCTTCCTGTGAGCATTTATAGCTTCATATGCAAAAATTTGCGCCTCCACACGATGGATCAGATCATCATATGAATGAACAGTGTCACGCATAAGTGCTGAATAGAAGGGGCCAAGATGAAGACCTCCAAGAAAGATCCCTCTGAGTAATTCATGATCTACTCCTGAAATCTATCGAGCATTGGTGAAAAATCGATGAAAATACTCCTTCAACGATTCTCCCTCATTTTGGCGGATTCCAAAGAGGTGGGAAGAATCCTTAGCAATTCTTCGATTGACTACGAATTATTCGACGATCACTTTGACCAATTTGACAAAAGAAGGGATCGTTCCAAACGGAAGCTAATAGAACCATGTTCGAGCCTGTCTTTTAAGGGTGGCGAGAAAAACCTGAAACAGGAGTGTATCCGAAGCTCGCTGAATATGCATGATAGTTCTATAGTGGTCGATATGCTCGTATGGATCGAATGTCCCGTCGTAGGACTCGATGCTTGGTAGTTTGAAGCCAATCGGGATGGGATGCTGAAGAATGGCTTCAGTTAAAGGCGAGGACTCCTCGAAGTTCCGCTGCCAAAGGTTTTGCCTCATATCACCTCTAGAGAACTCTTCCCATACCAATCTATGCAGTTCATGGCGTAGAGAGTTACGAGGGAGATCAACAACGTGTGGTTGGGCTAAGTCTTATGGAAGATCTGGAGGAATGCGAGGTTGTCGAGTTGTGGGCGAAGGATGTGTAGAACTTGCTGTATCGGCAAGTTCATTATCGTGGCGTGACTGCGGATGTCTTCTTGGTGAAGGGAGATGAATTTCTGCTTGATGATGTTCGAGTTGAATATCTTCGGCCAGTGGTGGAGCTCGAGGGAGAAGAACTTCCTCCTGCTGTGGTAATGCTGGCTGCCGAGTCTCTCGTAGGAGTTGAATGATCTTGTTTTGAGATTCTTCCATTTTTCGGATCCTCTCTTCTAGGGAAGGCCCCGAGGTTCCTTCTCCAGCGTCATTTTTCCCCCCCCCAGGGTAGAAAGAGGTAGAATCAGGCGTTTATGATTCATATACTGATTTCTGGACTGGTGGGAGTTGGAGCGAAAAGCTCCAATGATACGACTACTTCGCCTGTTGACCATCGTAGCAATACTTGAAGTTATGGAATAAGGTTCCTACAGACGGCGCCAAACTGTTGCGGACTAGAATATACGCGGCGATAGAGTTAAAAATTTCATGTCTCAGCGTTGTACGGATATCCAGCACACAAACAGAAGATGAAAGAACACTAGTATTTTTACGTGAAAAACCCTGGAAGGGGAAAAAAACCACGCGGCCACGCCTAGTTGAAAAAGTTCCACTAGTGTTGTTTGAGATAAAAGAGGCTGACTCATCCTTGAAAATTAGGATGATCATATTACAATGAATCACTTTTAGATTGAAATCCAATTACAACATCGGGCAGAATTCAGGGGTCGTTTAGAAGTTGGGTAGAATTCCGACATTGTTGGGACTTCAGGTAGAACTCCGACGTCGCTGGGACTTCAGGTAGAACTCCGGCGTCACTAGGACTTAAGGTAAAGCTCCGACGTCGTTCGGAATTTAGGTAAAACTCCGGCGTCATTCGGAAGTCTGATAGAATTCTGGCGTCGGGCAGAACTCTGACATTACTTGGGAAGAATTCCGGCGTCACTCGGGCGTCGGGCAAAATTACAGCGTCCTTCGGAGGTCCGACAGAATTCCAGCGTCGGGTAGAACTCTGGCGGTGGTTGAGGAGGAGTTCTTCCCTCCTATCATTCTCTTCTTCTTCTTGCTTCTTTTTCTTGCTTGGGTCCCCTCTCAAGAGAAATGATGGGTCTATCTATAAATTTTCGGGAGTGGCATGGCCCGTAAATAGATGAATAATCAGGGTCAAATATGGAGTGGTTCGGATGAACGGCCGATATTGAATCCTTCAATCATGGACCGTTTATTAGGTATTTGAAGGTCTTAATGACTTTGGAATTTGACAATCTTGGGCTCGTTGGATTCGTCTCGTTGAGCCGCTCGATTTGACTATAAGCTTGTCAAATTCGGAAGCCGTTTGGTAACTCAAATTGTGGTACAAGCTTTCCAACAGCGCTTCGGGTCCTTGAATTGGACTCATTTGGGCTCGAATTGAGTCAAATTTGGTGTTGTTGGGCTTGTATTTCCGAGACGCTCATTTTGACTGTAAGTTTTGACTGTAAGTTTGCTGAAATCGGAGTTTAGGTGATCCTGAATTTAATTTTTGAAGTTTCCGGCTTGATTTTGCCTCGAGATTCGTACCCGATCAAGATAAATTTTTTTATGATACATCAATAATAAAATAAAAATTATGTGAAAATATACAAAACAAATATTTAATCAAGCTTCTTAACAAGCTTGTTCACGAGCTTTAATTGATATCTTTCATGAATATAAATGAGCCGAACACATAGCTGTTTATATTTTTGTATTTAATAGTCGAGTAATTAAAAAATTGTTACTTGTTTGATTGCTTAAACAAACGATCATGTATGAGGTGTAATTGAGCCGAGTAATGAGTAGCTTATCGAACGCTCAGCTCATTTGCAACACTAAAAAATTCACAATATTGTATTTATTTTAGTTCATATCAAACACTAATATTCTAAAACTTCATGCATTTAGAATATTTTACGCTCATTTTGATTCAAACCAAATAACCATAAATAAAAAATATGTTATTTCAGATATTCAATTTGTAATAAATTTATAAATTATCATAAATTTAAATATTAGTATAAAAATGTATATGCTTATATGCTATAAGTATCATCTTTAGTTATTATTAATGAGCATTAATTAATATAATGTTAAATTTAGCCTTCTAAAAATGGCATGTTTATTTAATGATTTGATTTAAATGTTATGATAAATGCTCAATTCAATTACCTTTTCTTCCAACTATAATTTTTTTTAGGGGGGGAAATTTCCATCTATACTTTGGCTTTAAACTGCTAAGATTAAATTCGTTTTGATCTTTTTAAACAATAATTGAATATGGGCTCTGCACCATCCATCTGGCAAAGAGTTGGCCTACAAAATCATGATTAAATAAAATAATTAGTACTTATGGACTACAATGACCCAAAAAAGAAAAAAAATCTTTTTTGTTTTTTTCTAAGGGCGTTTATCTCACCTGTCCACATTTGTTTCTTTCTAATTATTCTGCAGATAACTAATCAAATTATGTCTTTCTAATAATTTATCTTTTTAAAAGGAGGAAACCGATACAAGAGGAAGAGCGAGAGCGGCGCGAATGGAAGGGGCAATGGAGGATCACGGCGAGAGGAGGAATATGGTGGGGAATGATATCGAGAGCATGATGGAAGGCAGAGGAAATGAGATGGATGGTGATTACTACTACGCTTCCATGGTTTCCGATACCGAGAAAGGGATTCGGCAGCCTTTGCTTCTGCGAAAACGAACGATGAACACCACCTCTCAGATAGCGGTGGTCGGTGCTAATGCCTGCCCCATCGAGAGCCTGGATTACGAGTTAGTTTCACGCATTGATATTTGTTCTTTATGTTTTATTTGATTTCGTGGTTTTTTTATTTTTAAATAAAGATGGTGCCTTTTGTTGTTTTAAGGATTGTGGAGAATGATTTGATTAAAGAGGACTGGAGGTCGATGAAGAAGGTTCAGATTTTTCAGTACGTGTTTCTCAAGTGGACGCTTGCTTTGCTGATAGGTTTGGCCACTGGAACCGTTGGATTCTTCAACAATCTTGCGGTTGAGAACATTGCCGGGTTTAAATTTGTGTTGACAAATAATCTCATGCTTGAGCATAGGTAAAACATCGATATAGTTTTTATTTATTATTTTTACCTTTTTTTCCTTTATAGCCTTTATAGTTTCTGGAACTAAAACATCCTTGATTGCGCCCAAACAGGAGCAAATGAATGAAAAAAAAAAAAAAAAAAAACCAGCCAAAAAAACATGATTTTGGCGACAAACGGGAATGCTTATATAGAATTGGTTGTGGTTTCCAAAATTGTCGAAGAATTTGATCGTATGGCGAAGTTTCGTTAATTGTTTTGTAGAGTTTTGTTAATGCGTTCTAGTGAATTAAATTAGAACTTATTGAAATTGCAAACAGAACGTCTTCTTATGGTTTGTAGAAGTAACGACGTTGGTAAATTAACTTTTGGTTATAATGTAGCACGGGATTCTTCTATAATTACGAAGAGCAGAGCTTTCGATTCGAGAAATGGATGTCTTTATTGGTCTAGAATGCATGATGGTTTAAGTTCTATGTTGAATTCCCTAAATAATTATTCTACGGATTTTAGGGTAGCTTTTGAAAGGTCAAATTTTGACAACCGATCTCGTTGAACTATAAATTATGTAAAAAGGTTTCAAGAAAATATTAGACTAGATATAGCTGCCCTTTAAATGGCGACTGGTGCCACGCCAGCAAAGCCAGTTGCCAGATAGACGAGAAATTATTAGGTGCGGACACAGTAAGGAGAGAATCGTCTGGTATTTACTCTGTTTATAGTAAAAACGCAGTTACTGTAGCAGCTGCGCTTTGACTACACATTCACTGTAGACGGATAGAAAACTGGACGGTACTCTCCGTCCGGTATCCGCACTTAGACAGGCCATCGTCAACTGAAAATAAATCAACAACAACAACATCAAGTCTTTGTCCCACTACGTGGGATCGGCTACATGAATCCTTTTTCGCCATTGCGTCCGGTTAAAAGTCAAATTCTCATCTAAATCTAATAAAGAAAGATCATTTCTAATATTTTCTAACCAAGTCTTTTTAGGTCTACCTCTACCTTTCTTAACATAAGCCAAATCTAATACCTCAACTTTCCTAACCGGGTCATCGGAAGGCCTCCGTTTAATGTGACCAAACCATCTAAGGCGACTCTCTCTAATCTTATCTTCCACTGGAGCTACTCCAACCTTTTCACGTATATGCTCATTTCGTATCCTATCTCTAAGGGTCAAGCCACTCATCCACCTAAGCATCCTCATCTCTGCAACACTTAACTTAGTATTATGCTTCTCTTTTAATGGCCAACATTCGGCACCATAAAGCATTGCAGGTCTCACCACCATCTTATAGAATTTTCCCTTAAGTTTGAGGGGGACTTTTCTATTGCACAATAAGCCCGATGCATTCCTCCACTTCAACCATCCAACTTGAATTCTGCTGATAATATCCCCATCAATTTCACCGTCACTCTAAACAATAGATCCAAGATATCTAAAACGTGTACTCTTATTAATGACTTGGTCGTCCAAAGTCGCAATCCCCTCACTAGGTCTATTTCCACTAAAATTACACTCCATATATTCAGTTTTAGATCTACTCAAGCGAAAACTTTTAGACTCTAAAGTTGACCTCAAGCGAAAAAATTTTCACTTTGAATTCATATTAATTTATATAATTAGAAGTTGAATCTTGCAAAGGCATGATTTTATTTGGAAATCCAGTTTAAGTTTGTAAATATTGATTGTTCAGTAAGATACTATGTGAATGTGCTGTTGCTATTAGAAAGTATTATTAGTGGCATATGATCCCATAGTTGGTGTATTATAGTTGAGTGAAATTATTTATTTGATGTGACTACTGAAAAAATATAGCAGTAATATCCAATCAACTGTTGTTGTAGTAAATGCAACATATTAGATATACCATTAATATGTTTGTTGATAAGAATTTTGTGTTGTATTATAAATATGTGGTCTCTTAGGTCTTCTTTGCTATTTAAGTGATGTATAAATTGGTGTAGTTGAACATTGAGAGCAGTTGCATCGCTTAGGTCTTCTTTGCAAAACTTTGAGTTACTAATTTTGTATTTTTTTCTTCGTAATGCATTTGCTGAGCTTAAAGAAGTCTCGTCGTGTCCCCAAGAAAAGTTGTTGGACATTGCAAGCACACGAATAAAAGTTTGTGTGGAAAGGTCATTTGATAGTCCACCAGAACTGAAGGCTAAGACAAATGAAGTTTTTCAGTGTTATATGAATGTTTGGACATCCAATAGGGACTGTTTATTTTGGGCTTTGTATATTGAATCTCTGAGGAGAGACTAACTCAACAAAACGGATTCAGTTTTGGGTCAACCCATATAAGATTTGGGTAAGGTTTGTGTAAGCTCAATTGACTTGAAAAGTAGTCGCATTCATGTTGGGTGCATGTCAGCTTGAAAAGAATGAGTTAAATAGTGTATTCTTATATATAAAAATTCATATTAAAGTATAAGATTTTGTTATTTTTTCTTATGGTTGCGTCCAACTTAAGTAATTGTATGTATTTTTTGTTGAGAACATTAACACGCCACGAATTAAGTGTTTTTTTGTTGTGCCATGTCAAGTTTAGTTGAGCCAGATTTGGGTTAGTTAATCAACTTGTTTAATAGATAGGTCGCGTTCTGATCTGTCATATTCATGATTGACCATTTTTGGGTTGAATTTGAACCTGATTATATACTCGAATCAGCACAGCTGCTTATTTGCACTACAATTATTATTCAACTCGTGAATTTAGTTTCTTAGCATGATTATAGGTTTTCCACTTTCTACTTCTCATTGATTACAGGACTCCCTCATATTAGTCTCTTTTAACTTTGATTTCTTGCACTTTTATCAAATCAATATAAAGATGATAATTATATTTGTAATGATATTCGGGGATGTCTATGATTATAAATAATAGATATTGATACAGATAAATTCAGTTCTTGTTTATTAAAAAATTTCGTGTCCTCTCTAAACTTATTGCTAGGTAGATGCAAGTCCTCTGAATATGCTGCAAATGGTATTTGTTACTTTTCAAGGGAATTATTCTTCTTGTATGGCATTAGGCCTGAATCTTTTATTTAGTAATCTCTTATCTTTCTTTTTTTATTGTCAACTTTAGTAATTGAATTGACTGTGTGTTTAAATTTTGTCAAATTTTGTAAAATTTTATTTTTACTTTTATAAGTGTAAGTCTTATATCAAATATGTGATTTTTGTGATCTTTAATTTCTGATTTTTTTATTCTAGATTTTTGTTCGATTAAACTATTAAATTATTATTCGTGCAATTTGCAAATTTCTAGTTTCATCTAAAGAGATGGATGATCATCTAAATTAGCATTTTGTAAAATGCTAAATTGACTTTGTGTGAGTGATTTTGTGTAGTTATTTATAGATCTGCATTAGAAAATCCTAGACTCTAAGATATCATACATAAATTTATATACAAGAAGTATGGTAATTATGCCTAAATTTTATTGATGAATATTAACTAAACAACTTACAAAGATAAAATATTCAAGTTAGGAATAATTGATGCAAAGAACAATCTTTGTAGTTATCAAAATGCAAAATATATGAGTTAAGATGAACCACTTAAAATATAATATTTAACTTTTAATATTAGTTTGATTTTTATTGGAGTTCTAATTTTAGTAAAAATCTATATGCACATTCCTTGGATATTGCCCTAACTTGATTTATATAGGGATCTATGGGCTCCGAAAATTCGGCCTCGGCCTCCCCATGCTACTTTTTCGTGGGGGTTTTAACGGATTAAGTTCTAGGGTAAATTTTGGAAGGCAAATGAGTTTGTAAATAAGACACTACCAGGAGATTTTGCCCTCCTTTTGCGAGGACTTTATGATATGAGTTTTGGTTTCCTATATGTGCAAGCCCCTATAGTTAATTATCCATCCCGATAATGAGAGAGAACTTTCAATTAAGGCTAGTCGCCAATCAGATATGTAGAAAGTACATGTTATCTAACATATAATAGCAACATGGGTTAAGGGATCTAGAAATTGAAGAGTTCATATTTAAAATCAGAAATTTCACCATCTTACACTTAAAGCAGATGGTAGGGGAATAGATGATGGACCCGATCAAGATCCCCTAGTTCCGTCGTCCCGGGCCATCATGGTCTCTAGTTTACTTAGTAAGAGGAGGTAGTCGAACCAACCTGACAGAAGGATCATTGTAGGCAGCAATGAGTTGCTTTGTCCAAGGGTACCTTGTAAACCTGGGGTGAATGTTTGTCTAAGGGGATAAATTTGAATCTACCTTAGCTAACAGAGGGCTTTGTGCTCTATCGATTATATCCTATTGAATCTATATTAAGGATTTGATGCCACTAAAAAACTTATTGACTTTGGCCATAACCACTATCTCGTGGTGCCATTTGATGGCAACACCATTCGGTTCAGAGGGCCCTGGGTTATAACCGTTTATCCTGTGGTGTCATTTAGCGGCAAAATCGCCGGTTAAAGGACATGTATCACGTTCTTATTGGCAGGATATTGTTTGAGAATGGATCATAGTGATATTTTCGACTAGGCATTTAGTCATATATGAGCTGAAGTTATCTACCTTAGCTAACTGAAGTTTTCCTCCTCCTCACATCCCGTTGGACAATCATACAAAGTATTCAACTTTCTACTCACAAGAAATGAATAAGTAGGAATTGTATTATTACAGACTCTCCACCAAAACAATTCAATAATTGGTTTCAGCTTCAGCTTCCTCTTCCAGTTCCATTGGGTATTCTTCTTCTCATGATCCATAGCAGCTACAGAAGCCAATGCCGTGATTGACTTACCAGAAAATTTTCCGATCAGTTCCATCTGATCACTTTGCCTACTATCTTCAATCGGGATATTAGAGATGAGTTCAATCAACTGAACTCCAAAAGCTTCTTTCAACTTATCACAATTCCAATGGCCATCAGTAATGAAGTAACTAAGAGAGAATTCTGAAAAATTCTGAACATTAACAAAAGTAGGCCACTTAGCAATACATCTATCCAAAATTCATGA